GTTCCATTTGTCCAGTTTTCCTGTCCCTTCCTACTTTCTTGTTTTTGTTTTTGGGCAGATGTTGCCCAGTTCTGAGTTAGAAGGGTATCCGGGGGCCATAGTCTTGGGGGTTCCTCCAGTCTCTGTAAGACCAGTAAGTCTGGTCTTTTTTGTGAATTTGATCTTTTGTTCTACATTTTTCTCCCACTCTATCCAGGATCCTCTATTGTAATCCCAGTCAGAGCAGTTGGTTGTGGTAGCCCGGCTCCATGTAGTTCTTCTGGTCTCAGGGTTGTGTAGGCTGTGGTTCATGTGGTCCGTCAGTCCTTTGGACTAATTGTTCGCTTGCGTCTATAGTTTTTTTCACTCTCTTTTGCTCCAGACTAGAAGAGACTGATAGTTGTATCTTAGGTGCCACTCGCAAGCTTTTAAGGCCCTAGACACTACTCACCAAAGTAGGATGTAGAACGTTGTCTTTAAGAACTATGTTGTGCCAGCTGATGTAGATGTCCCCTGAATCTACGGTCTTTTGCCTTCAAGCCTGGGAACTTCATCCCGTGAGGTGTTTAGTTATGTCTAAGAGGTTTCCCTGACTGTGCCACTTGTGTGCTCTACTGTCTATATTAGTATATGAGTAGCACTTACAGTCATGTATTTAGAAATTTCCACCACCAAACGTGTATCTGCAGGTGGGTGTGTTCCCTTACCCCCTCCTTCACCTCTTGGCATATCTATGTATCCGTTAGTAGATTGTTTGTTAATACTATTGTTGCAGGATTGTCTACGCTAGTTACCATAAAAAAAAAAAAAAAAAAAAAAAAAAAACACAAAAAACCCAAACCTGTTGCTGTCGAGTCAATTCCAACTCATAGCAACCCTGTTAAGACATAGTAGAACTGCCCCATAGGATTTCTAGGGAGCGGCTGGTGTAGTCTAACTGCTGACCTTTTGGGTAGCAGCTGAACTCTTAACCACTGCGCCACCAGGGCTCCAGTAGTTACTATAGTTGTCCTTTATTCTTGCGTTCCTCTCAGTGTCATCTCTTGCCTTGGTCATGTTGTGCTGACTTCTCCCATATTGTGTATTTCCTTTCCCTTCACCAGTATTAACACGTCTACTATCTTTTTGATAATTTTCCCTCCCTCTCCCTCCCATCCCTGGTAACTATTCAAAGAGTTTTTTTCCCCCCCTGTGTGTAAACCTTTTGTTGTTACTTTATAATAGTGGTCTCATACAATATTTGTCCTTTTGTGATTGACTTATTCCCTCAGCATTATGTCCTCCAGATTCATCCATGTTGTGAGATGTTTCATGGATGTCTTTATTCTTTATCATTGTGTAGTATTCCATTGTATGTATGTTGTCTTCTCATTTTCTTTCTTTTTTTTTTTATTGTACGTCAGGTGAAGGCTTATAGAACAAATGGCTTTTCATGAAACAGTAGTACACATATTGTTTTATGACATTGGTTAACAACCCCACAACATGTCAACTCTCTAACTTCTCAACGTTTTTTTTTTGGTGAAAATACACATAGCCAAAGATACACCATTTCAAAAATTTCTACATGCACAGTTCAGTGACATTGACTACGCTCTTC